ATGCTTGAAATGATCCAAATAATCATAATCGCGATGTGCCTCTGTTATTTTTTTTGGGCCCCCACAAATCGACCCGCATATATGTACATATGCTAATGATTTGATGTTTTATATCATGTTTACAATTAAATTCAATCTACAAATTGGATAAACAAAAGTAAGCAGTTTCATAGTTATGTACATCGGCACAGTGGTTCAAAGCTCATATTTAATGCTCACCAAATAATTGAACTGTAAAATTAAGAAAAATATCTATAATCGACTTTTGTTAGAACAAACTTAAAAAAATGGGAGCGCAAAAACTTCGAAGCAAATTATTAAAAACCTTTTTCATAATAAATGTGAGCTTTGAAGCACCATGAGAAACCACCATTACTAAAGAGTTTACATCTTCATTTACGAATTACACAAATCGCTAGCAACTTACATTTCTTATTTTTGGGTATTTCCGGTAATTTTCGTCTACGTCGTTGTTGCAGCTGAGTTGCACCAATAGCAGCAGCTGTATTGGGCGAGAGCAATAATTGATGACCCACAGTGCCATCACTGCCAGTTGTACTATTTCCAATAATAGTGCCACCGCCAGTGCCAGTACCAATACCAACGCCAACTAGACCACCGATTGCATCCTGATGGTTTAATGGATGATGGCGATGTGAATTGAAGGAGTCATTTGTGTCCAGCGATCCATCAGAAGAGAGTGATACAATTTTGAGACCATCGCCAATTTCATCATCCTCCACCTGACGTTGAAGCTTCGTCGACGATTCGCAGCAGAGTTCTCCACCGCCAGCATCTTCCTGATCGGAAGAATCACTTTTCGAAGATGGCGAATCCTCGAGATCATCATTGGGAATGAGGCTGAAGATTTAAAAAGCGTAAAGAACAAAATTTTGGTTGTTAATAGGAGAAAAATTTTGCCGGTGAGCGGATTGCCAAATAGTTTTTTTTTTTTTTTTTGAGATTTGTTTGAGAAATTATTTAGTGTAATTGATTTTTCACATGCGGAAGACACTCATATGCCACGCACTGACACATGGACACATACAATTACGCACACCACGGCAGTGGACAGCACAAAATAGTATGTCAAAACACTTGCACACAAACGCACGCAGGCAAGCGCTCTGATGAGTCGTACTATTTAAGCAGTACTTGTGGGGAGTTTTCAAGTGGCTCGGCATGTCCTGATTCTCGCATCCGCTGACACTTTAGGTAGATTGCATGCAATCTTTTTCTTTTTTGATTTTACATCTACATATTTACATAAGTAGTTGGCATACTTACGAGTAGAATGTGTGTGCATTATTTTTCTTTTGGCCAGAGCTTATGTACGTCTGAATTTGATGTGGCTCAAAGATGGGCCTGTGGAATTCTTCAAATTCGCTGTCAGCCATTGTGCTTCGAAAGTGACTGCTCGATGCTGGTTGTGACTGGAGATTTTAGTGTGTGTCTGTGTGTGCGTGCTAAGCCACTGTTGTATGTATGCCAGCTGAAGTACTTCAAAAAAAAATATTTTTCACCAACAATTTGCAACACCCACGGAATAAGTACACCACACAGCACAACCGTATTAGGCAACGCGTATCGTTGTATATTCAAATATCCTTAAACTTTCAATTACTGCAATCCAATTTATTTGCAAACTGTAACTAAAATTTTTGCGAAAAAGCGATTTGTGTGCCCTCTTTGCCAAAGCAAATCAGGCGTCGAATGACTTTTTCACTCTTCGATCGATAATTTCCTTTTCGCTTTTGTTGGCTTGTCGCTCGGCTGATTTGGCTGCCACTTCGGTTGGGTCGTCGCAGAAAATGTCCATGGCAGAGACGGTGAGCGCCTTGAAAGTGACTTTGATGAGGCAAGCGAAAGGGGCTGTTGCAGCCAGAGCGGCGGGTGGTCGCATTTACTAAGAGTACAGTGCTCCGAGTACTGGGAAATTTAGCTGTCAAACTAATATTCATAAATATAAGGTTTATAGGATAGGTAGGTGGAGCAAAGCGGGTGCTGTAATGCAATCGTACCTACAGTTGTGTGTCAAGTTTTTTACGTTGCTGTTTTTGTTTACAGCAGTAACAGCAGTGTAACAGCCCCCGCCGCATATGTGGCATGTTTAAAGCTGTCTAAGCTCTCGCTGTTTGGGGTTGATTTGGGAAATTTAACTGTCATTCTTAAGGGTGTAAAACGTTAACAAAAGCAAGTAACTGAGTCAGGACATTTAGGTTTTACATTTGCTTTGTTTACAACAATGACAGATGAGCAAGTCAAGCGAAGCAAGAAGAGAGTGGCAAGTGGCAAATTATGTCGACGAGCAAAGAGCATGCGCATTGTGGAATCATGAATTACATACACACAATGACATGTAATTATGAAAACGTCAGTTGATTTTAAATTAAATTAATTTGTATTTAATAACACTAATTTCAATAAACACAAAGATACGTAGTAGGCACGTAGATTAGCGTGCATCAATCTTCATACAAAAAAAAAGAAAGAAAAGAAAATCGGTGGAGACCGTGTTTCCATCAGAATTGTAAAATCTATTTGCTTTTGAGACTATAACTACAAAAATTGATTTTTTTTTGATAAATAAAATTAGTTCTAAAAAAAGTTTTTTCCAAAAAATCATCTCAGTAGATAGAAGAGTTAAAGCTTAGAAGGTTTGCTTAAAAATGTTAAAAAACATTAATAACAGAATCAAGCGATTTTTGGCAGTATTTTCAAATCGGACCAGCTCACGTAAATCTTAATATTTTTCCACAATATTTTGGCGCAAGTCGTAAAATATAATACATTTTATAATGCCGGTGGAAAACCCGCAACTTTTTTGGATCAGATCCCTCTTATCTGGCTTCCCAGACATACAAACATAGAAGGTAATGAGAAGACCGGCTTCAATGAATCCGAAACGGTGGCACTGGATAGCCCCCC